CAGCCAGCAAAAAGAATGAAATAATGCCATCAGAAGCAACATGGATGGACCTGGGATGCCCAAACACTGAGTGAAGTCAGACAGACCGAGGAGGACCCATAGCTTATAATATCACTTATAGGAGGAAGGAAAACATACATACAACTGAACTAGTTTACTAAACAGAAACAGAGCCACTGACTTTCAGAATAAACGTAAAGTTACCAAAAAGAAAGTGGGGTAGGAGATATAAGGTAGGCGGTTCACATGAACACATACACAGAAAAATACGTATAAACACCTATATAAAACAAACACGCACTGGGCTTCCCTGGTTGCGCAGTGGTTGAGAGTCTGCCTGCCGATGCAGGGGACACGGGTTCGTTCCCCAATCCGGGAAGATCCCACATGCCGTGGAGCGGCTGGGCCCTTGAGCCATGGCCTCTGAGCCTGCTTGTCTGGAATCTGTGCTCCGCAACGGGAGAGGCCACAAGAGTGAGATGGCTGCGTACCGCAAAAAAAAAAAAAAAAAAAAAAAAAAAAAATTGACAGCTACCAGCATTTGTGAGGATGTGGAGAAACTGGAACCCTCGTGCATTGCGTTTGGTGACATAAAATGGTGGACATATGGTGAAAAACTGCTTGACAGTTTCTTAAAATGTTAAACATAAGCTTATTAAATGACCCAAAAATTCTACTTCTGTGGCTTCCCTGGTGGTGCAGTGGGTAAGAATCCACCTGCCAATGCAGGGGATACGGGCTCGAGCCCTGGTCCAGGAATATCCCATGTGCCACGGAGCAACTAAGCCTGTGTGCCACAACTACTGAGCCTGAGCTCTACAGCCTGCGAGCCACAACTACTGAGCCCACACGCCTAGAGCCTGTGCTCCACAACAAGACAGGCCACCGCAGTGAGAAGCCCGTGCACCGAAACAAAGAGTAGCGCCCGCTCGCCGCAACTAGAGAAAGCCCACGTGCAGCAACGAAGACCCAACGCAGCCATAAATATATATATATATATATATATATATTTTAAAGATTGAAAAAAAATTCTACTTCTGGGGCTTCCCTGGTGGCACAGTAGTTTAGAATCCACCTGCCAACGCAGGGGACGTGGGTTCGAGCCCTGGTCCAGGAAGATCCCACATGCCGCGGAGCAACTAAGCCCGTGCACCACAACTACTGAGCCTGCGCTCTAGAGCCCGCGAACCACAACTACCGAGCCTGCGCTCTAGAGCCCGTGAGCTACAACTACTGAGCCCACATGCCACAACTACTGAAGCCCGCGTGCCTAGAGCCCATGCTCTGCAACGAGATGCCACCGCAATGAGAAGCCCGCGCACAACAACGAAGAGTAGCCCCCGCTTACCGCCACTAGAGAAAGCCCACACAGCAACGAAGACCCAACACAGCCAAAAATAAATAAATAAATAAAATTGTAAAAGTTGAAGTTAATGAATTAGGAAAGCAGGAAAAGTAGACTGATTGATAAATCAAAGAACCGGTTCTTTTGAGAAAGCTAAAAACTTGAACACTGACAGAAAAAAACCACCACCTCCTTGTCGATTTTCATAAAGAAGGCACATATATAAAACTTAGAGACTTCTAAGACGACTTTTACTAGAGATTGGGGTGGGAGGGCCAGGCAGTGGCTTCACCCACACAGCCCATGGGTGGGCTTCACTCATACACACTATGAGTTCAAGGCACACCTCAGATGTTGGCGTTTTTAAGCCTTTTTGGTTGGTATGGGCTGAGGGAGGCCCTTGGCCATTCAGGCCACATGCACCTGACCTTCCATCACCTCACCAGTTTGTCAGTCTCCTGTTCTCTTCCCCTCTACGCACATTTTCTCACACAGGTTAGTTTGTCTCCTGTGTTGCTTGGACATCATATGGCATCCATGCCTTCAGCAGCTTAAGCAAAATGTTAACACACACACACAGTTCTTTCTCTAAGATGAACTCCAGGGCCAGGGGAAAGGAATTACACATAAGAGGGTTCCTCTTCACCTTTCAAGAAGGACAAGATACTCCAGGGTTGGGAGGCAAAGCTCCTGGCACAGTTGTGCCCTGCAGGCAGCACCTCCTGCCCATCCCGCCTGGGAACCCTGCCCAGGGAAACAGACACAGGCCGCAGGAGGCCCGGGATGCCTGGGGGTGGGAGTGCCTACCTGGATCAGGCTGTACTTCTGGTCTCTGTTCTTCAGGACCATGGTGTTCCGCCACTGCAGGCACTTCTCCTGGTGGGCCTGGATCTCAGAAGTGAGGGTGGAATTCCGGCTCTGGAAGTCCTCCAGATTGGGGGCAGGAGGAAGGGACATAGCCAGCAGTTTTCCCTCTGTAAGATCTTCCGGGGAAATGGGCAGCCCAAACTCCTGGCTCAGCCCCTTGATCATGGAGGAGGAGGGCAGCAGGTCCCCGGTGATCACCTCCCTGAGCCTGGAGCTGTAATGGCAGATGCAGTAGATCCTGGAACACAGAAGAGGCCCACTCAGCCTGCCTGCCCGGCACGACAGGTCAGACGGTCTCCATTTTATGAGAGGAAACGAAAACACAGAGAGGTTGATGAGCTGATCCCGGGTCACCCAGCTCGTGCACGAGAAGCTTAGATGCCACGTGCTGAGCCCACGGGGTTGGGTTGTGGGGAGATGTCCCCTTCCCTCTCCCCTCTCAGTCCCCCCGCAGTTAAAGGCTTCCCACTTTCTGCTTTGATTATTTTTCGGTCCCGATGGCCTTATTCCCTACCTCGCACCAACCCACACCCCACCAGGGAGTGGCCTCGACAGGCTGGCCGTCGGGGGTGTGGACCACAGAGCTCCTTCCCGCCCAGGCAGAGGGTACGAGGCACAGAGCCTCATGTCAGCACAGTTCGAGGACTGAGTAGTCACCCCCACCCCCACCAGGGTGAGCGGACGCCCCCCTCTCTCCCGCCCCAACCCCCCCTTTTTAAAAACACATTCAGCAGGCACAGCTGTGGTTCGGGTTAGGCTGCCCTCTGTCCGCCGCACACTTCCGAAGCCCCCCTGGCAGAGCGTGCGGGACGGCGGGGCACGGGCCGGGCCGCACCTGCTCAGTGCCTGAAAGACCTGCCGCGGCACCGTGTTGCGCACGTAGAGCACTGCGTGCTTCATCAGCTGCGCCAGCGGCCGGGACAGGTGCACGTGGTACGGGACGGTCTCCAGGTCGGCGTAGAGGCGGCGGCGGAAGCGCAGCTGCGAGTTGTAGAGCGCCTTGTAGGAGCCGGGCTCTGCCTGCGGGACCCTGCAAGAAAAAAGAGGGGCCCCACGCCGCTGCCGCTCTGCCCGCCACAGAGCTCGGCACTTTCCCAGGGCCACTGGTGGTGGAAACGGGGGCACTGGCCTGGGCTTGCTTGTGTCTCGCTGTCCCCGCCCCATCTCTGTTTCCTCCCCCTCCCCTACCGACCCGCCCCTCCCACCGACTCTGCGTCCCCCACCCCCACCCCCGACCTTTGAGCCACCCGCTGTATTGGGCTCAGGTTCCTCCACCTTCCTGAACCCGGTGAATCCGCACGGAGCCTGTGCATCCCACCCTGAGTCTGTGTGTTGGGGTGGCGGTGGTTCCCCTTTGTGGGGGGTCCCTGTTCAAGTCTTCTGCCCATTCCTCCACTGGGATGTTTTTACTGTTTTCTCATTCATTCACAGGCGTTTCTGTACTCTCAGAATACTAGCTCCATACATTGCAAATACTTTTTTCTCAGTTTGTGGCTTTTCTTTTCGCAATTTTTATGGTCTTTGGGTGAAGAGAAGTTACTAATTTTAATATAGCCAAACCTGTCATTTTTTCCTTTATTTTTTCTACTTCTGTCTTACTCAAGAAGTCTTTCTTTATTCTGAGGTCATGAATATGTCCTCCTGTAGCACTATCTAAAAGCTTTACAATTCAACTTTTTAAAAATAGATTTTTCTTCTACAAGAAAGTTGAGAACATACAATGGGAAAAAGACAGTCTCTTACATAAGTGGTGCTGGGAAAACTAGACAGCTACGTGTCAAAGAATGAAATTAGAACATTTTCTCATACCATATATAAAATAAACTCAAAATGGATTACAGACCTAAGTATAAGACCTGAAACTCTTAGAAGAAAACATAGGCAATATGTTCTTTGACACTGGTCTTAGCAATAATTTTTTGGATCTGTCTCCTCAGGCAAGGGAAACAAAAGCAAAAATAATCAAATGGGACCTAATCAAACTTAAAAGCTTTTGCACCGCAAAGGAAACCATCAACAAAATGTAAAGGCAACCTACTGAATGAGAGAACATTGGCACATGATATGTGATATGGGGCTAATATCTAAAATATATAAAGAACTCCTACAACTCAGTGTTAAAAAAACAAACAACCCAATTAATAAATGGGCAGAAGACCTGAATAGGCATTTTTCCAAAGAAGACATACAGATGGCAAACAGGTACATGAAAAGATGTTCAATATTACTAATTATTAGGGACATGTAAATCAAAACCACAATGACGTATCACCTCACAGAATGGCTATCATCAAAAAGACAAGAAATAAAGTGTTGGTGAGGATGTGAAGAAAAGGGAACCCTCCTACACTCTTGGTGGGAATGTAAACTGGTGCAGCCACTATGGAAAACAGTATGGAGATTCCTCAACAAATTAAAAATAGAACTACCATATGATCCAACAATTCAACTCCTGGGTATGTATCCAAAGAAAGTGAAAACAATACTTTGAAAAGATATATGCACCCCAATTTACAACAGCCAAGATATGTAAGCAACCTAAGTGCCCATCAGCAGATGAATGGATAAAGAAGACACGATATATAGATACAGTGGAATATTGCTCTGCCATTAAAGAGGATGAAATTTGCAACAACATGGATGGACCTTGGAAGGTATTAAACTTAGTAAAATAAGTCAAACAGAGAAAGATAAATACTGTACGTTCTCACTTATGTGTGGAATCTGAAAAATAAAACGAACAAGATATTTCTGGTGAAACCTGAGTAAGAACAGACAACTGTGGTCTAGTTAACTGTACTGCATCCATCAATATGTCAGATGTCACCACTGGGGGAGACAGGGTGTTGGGGTACCTGGAACCTCTCTATGATTTCTGCAACTTATTGTGAGTCCATAATTATTTCAAATAAGCTTTTACTCTGTCTGGGATTGATTTTTGTGAACTGTGTGAGCCAGCAAATTAGGAAACTCTCAGCGAATAAGGAATAAAGTGGAACTTCCTCAAGTTGATAAAGGACATCTACAAAAAACCTACACGTAATGGGGAAAGACTGCCTTCCACCAAAGACCAGAAACAAAGCAAGGATGTGACAACTCTTATATAAAATAGTACTTCAAGTCTTAGCTAGCACCCTAAGGAAATGAAGATATACAGCCTGGAAAGGAAGGAATGAAACTATTGCTATTTGCAGATGACATCTTGGTCAGTGTAGAAAATCCCAAGGAATCTACCAGAAACAATCAATCAGACGAACAGAACTCCTCAAACCAATAAGTGAGTTTAGCAAGGCTGTAGAATCAACATAGAAAAATCAATTATATTCTATATACAAGCAATGCACAGCTGGAAACTGAAATTAAAAAACACAGAACCATTTAAAAATCACTCAAAAAGTAAAATACTTAGATATAAATCTACCAAATACGTACAGGACTTGTATGCTGAATATGCTGATGAAAGAAATTTTAAAAATTTTTAAAATTTTAAAAAATGTAAATAAGTGGAAATCTAAATAAATATTCATGGATTGGAAGGCTCAAATAGTTCTCTCCAAATGATACATAGGTTGAGCATAATTTCTATCAACATTCTAGAAAGATGTTTTGTAGATACATACAGCATATTGTAAAATTTATATGAAAAGGCAAAGGATCTAGAACAACAAAAACAATTTTGAAAAAGAATAAAGTGGCCTGACTTTGATTATATAGCTACGGTAATCAAGACTTTGTAGTATTGGTGAAGGGACAGACACAGAAATCAATGGAGCAGAATTGAGAACCCAGAAATAGAGCCACACAATTATGACCAACCGATTTTTTATAAAGATGCAAAAGCAATTCAGTAAAGGAATATAATATTTTCAACAAATGATGCTGTAGCTATTGGATATATGTAGGCTAAATGAAACACAACAAAAACTCAACCTAGGTTCCAGTTCAAGATGGTGATGGAGGAAGATCCTGAAGATCTTCCTTGGGAAGATCTTCCTTGGGAACAGCTTCTTGGGAGGGAGATCCTCCTCCCAAGGACACACCAAATCTACAGCTCCATAGGGAACAATTTCCTCTGGGGAGAAAGATACAAAAACAAAAACTAAAAACTAGCTGAATGACCCCTTCACATAGGGCAAAAGAGAAACCAGCCACATCAAAACAGAATTCCAAATAAGATGAGCCCAGAGACCCGCACCAACACACTATAATTAAAAGGTCAAAAGCTAACGACAAGGAGAGAAGCTTAAAAGCAGCAAGAGAAAAACAACTTGTTACACATAAGGGAACTCCCATAAGACTATCAGCAGATTTTTAAGCAGACACTTTGCAGGCCAGAAGGGAGTGGCACGATATATTCAAAGCGCCAAAAGAAAAGACCTTCCAACAAAGAATACTCTACCCGGCAGTTATCAGGAGATAAGGAGAGATAAAAGAAGGAGGGATAAAAGAGTTTTCCATATAAGAAAAACTAACAGAGTTCATCACCACTAAACTGGCCTTATAAAAATGTTAAAGGGACTCCTTTCAGTTGAAAAGAAAGGATGTTAATTGCTAACAGAAAACATGAGACTGATCAAGATGGCAGAGTAGTAGGACACAAAGCTCGCTCTCTCCCACATCTACAATAAAAATACATCTACATGTGGAACGATTCTCACAGAATATCTACTGAACGCTGGCAGAAGACTTCAGACTGCTGTAAGGGCAAGAAAATCTCCATGTAACCAGGTAGGAAAAATGAAAAAGAAAGTGAGAAAGGTATCCGGATGGGACCTGCACCCCTGGGAGGGGGCTGTGAAAGAGGTAAGGTTCATGCACCCTGGGAAGCCCCCTCACCGGCAGGGAGATCTGCCAGGACAGAAGGGGAGCTTCAGAGCCTCTGAGAAGAATGCAGCAGTCAGTTTGTGGCAGCCAGAGCAGAGGGAGAACTGCACAGATGGTCAGTACTGCAGACCTGCACTCACCAGCCTGACATGTGCATCCCCAGTGCTGGCAGGGGCTGGGTGCTGGAACTTCGGCTCCAGAGATCAGAACCAGGGAGAGGACTGGGGTTGGCTGTGTAGAGACAGACTTGGGGGCGGGGGGATGAATCCGGTGCCACCACAGCTGGGGGTATAAGCGGAGGAAGCCTGAGCTGCCTCAGAGGCCGGTCAGCATTGTTTGGGTGGTGTAGGAGGGGAGAGGTGGGACCTAGACTATAGCCTTTTTTCCATGTATGTGTGCTCCCAGAGGGCAAGACACTGCCTGCCCAGGCTCCAGGGGCAGTTACAGACCTCTACCACCATCCACCCTGATGCCAGGAATGGTCACAATCCCCCACTAAAACCCTCCCAGACCCTAGGAGTGGTTGAGGGACTGCACCAACTCCTGCCCAGAACGCACCACCAACTCCCTCCTGAACAAGACTGGTCATGGGCCACTGACGCACCTGCCCAGGCGCCAGGAGTGGGCGAGAGCCCCAGCCACCACCTTCCTGCACAATGAAAACACAACCATACAAAATCTATGGGACACAGCAAAAGCAGTTCTTAGCGGAAAGTTCATAGCAATACAGGCCTTCATCAAAAACAAGAAAAATCTCAAATGAACAACCTAACCTACCACCTAAAAGAATTAGACAAAGAAGAACAAACAAAACCTAAAGTCAGCAGAAGGAAGGAAATAATAGAGATCAGGGAGGAAATAAAGTAGAGATTTTTTTTAAAAATAGAAAAAAAATCAACAAAACCAAAAGCTGGTTCTTTGAAAGGGTAAACAAAATAGACAAACCTCTAGCCAGGCTCACCAAGAAGAGGGAGAATCCACATAAACAAAATAAGAAAAGAGAAAGGAAAAATCTCAACTGATACCATAGAAATACAAAACACCATGAGAGAATACTATGAACAATTATATGCCAACAAATTTGGCAACCTAGAAGAAATGGAATTGTCTAGAAACATACAGCCCACCAAAATTGAATCAAGAAGAAATAGATAATTTCTACAGACCAATCACTAGAAGTGAAATCAAACCTGTAATAAAAAACTT